AGGGCTTCTGCGGTCCCATGTAGCAATTGTCTCACACAGCTAGGCCTTGAATTAGAATGGTCTGTTTAGTGACCGTTCAAAGCTACAACGCCATAGAAAAAAAATGACTTAGGACTGTTTTTCACACTTACGACCGTCGTGGCACCCCCACGGTCATGTGATCAAAATTCAGATGCATGGCAGCTGACTCGTATTTACGACGGTGTTACAAGGTCCCAGAGTGATCATGGGGAAGCCAGATTCACTTAACGACCGTGTGACTAAGTTAACAACTGCAGGGATTCACTTAATGAGGCAAGGAAGGCTGTGGGGAAAACTCATTTAATGGCTGTTTAATTTAGGAAGAGAAATTTTGGGCTCAGTTGAAGTCGTAAGCTGAGGACTTACCTGTATTATGGCCGGCAGAAGAGGCGAGTTAGGGAAAGAAGTCAAAGGAAATGGGGAAATTGGCAGAAATATTTGTAAGGCCGCTTTTTAAAAATGTAAATAAATTCTGAACAGAACGTGTCTTTCCTTTGTAAAAAAAAACAACCCAACTTTTGTTCATGGCGAAAAAGGTTTTTACATCCTTCCTCTAATTTGTTCCCCATTTCTCTTGTTTGACTTCTATTTCAACAGTTTCTGTTCCTTTATTCCCAATTCGTTCCCCTTCATGAGATTTTTATGTAGATTGCGGTACAGATGTGCCTCGAGTTACAATCCATTTAGCGACCGTTTGAAGTTACCACGTCCCAGGAAAAAAGGAATTTATGGGTGTTTTCCACACTTATGACCATCGCTTCATCCCTGTGGTCGATAGTCAGACATTTGACAACTGGCTCACCCTTATGACGGTTGCGGATTCCCACGTGATCCCATTTTGCGCCCTTCCGACATGCAAACTCTTGGAATTCATTGTTGGAATGCAATGCAACAACTACAGTAGAATTCAGCCAGCGGATGGCAGTGTTTAAAGTTGGGCTCTATGGTATATACTCTATGCTCTTTTGTGCTAACTAGAGCTTCTTCTTTCCTGTTACAGTTAAACGGTTGAGCAGTAAAGCACATGGTGACTGTACTCTTTCTCTGCTCTTTGGTTAAAACAGAATCTCCAACACAAAGTCAACGGGAAAGCCCGATTCACTTAACAACCGTGTTACTAGACTTAGAGTTAGAATAACTTTAATGTTATTTTGAACGTAGACTAACCGGCATACATTGAAATGGAATTTCGTTGCCTACAGCTCTCAAAGGGTCACCACCTTCAATATACACTAAATGAATGTGAATAAATAAATAAATACATTTTTGAAACAAATGAATAAATATATAATTATGTATACATACCCACAAACAGAGAAACAACGCAGTCTAGTTCGGATGTATATATGTACATGGTGAGAAAAAACTGGACTAATTTAATTTAATTTTAATTTAATTAGAATAGAATAGAATAGAATAGAATAGAATAATAGAATAGAATAGAATAGAATAGAATAGAATAGAATAGAATGCGATGGGATGGGATGGGATGGAATAGAATAGAATAGGAATAGGAATAGGAATAGGAATAAGAATGGAATAGGAATAGGAANGCCGAACTGCAGAACTGCAGTCAGCTGAAGTAGCTTGCAGTGCTGCATTTAACCACTGCGCTACCTCGGCTCTATTATATATATAATTGATGATGGTTTTATGTTTCATGTCTTCTTTGTCTAAAAATAAAAATAAAAACTTTTATTAAAAAAAAAGAATAGAGCTGGAAGGGGCTTTGGAGGTCTTCTAGTCCAGCCCCCTGCTCAGACAGGAGACCCTCTACCATTTCAAGCAAATGATTGCCTAATCTCCTCTTAAAAACCTCCAGGGATTGAGCACCCACAAGTTCTGGTGGCGAACTGTTCCACTGGTTAATTGTGGAAACAATTAACCAGTGGAATGAAGAATGAAGATCAGCACCACAACCACCGTTGCTGTTAGCTCTCTCAGGCGCAACAAAGGGTGCCAAAGACAGCAGATTTTGCTCCAGATTGTTGAAGGAGGAACAAAAATCTCTCCTACTCTGAGGTTACACCTTGGCACAGATCCCTGACCCCTTCTGAGAGATGCAAACAGAGTTCATTGTAATTGCGCCAGCCAACCCCTCCTGCGTCGGCATACCAGGCACAGGAATTGCTTCCTTGTCCTTCACTTCCTGATTGGCCCTGAACATGGAAGATAGAACGTAGAACATCACTGTTGGAAGGGACCTTGGAGGTTTTCTAGTCCAGCCCTCTGCGGAAGCATGGAAGGCTTTAAAGGACAGATAAGGAGCGCGGGTGGGTAGGCACTCTGGAGCACCGTACCGGAACGGTACCCACTGCTCCAGGCAGGCTCTGGTACACCCGTACCGCGGCGTACCGCCTGCAACCCACCACTGATCTCAGAAATACAAATACAACAATATATATACACATACACATACACATACACATACACATACACATACACATACACATACACATACACATACACATACACATACACATTACACATTACACATTACACATACACATATATGTGTGTGTGTGTGTTATATTTGTGCTGATAAATAAATAAAGGGAGACTAGTATAGATCTATTTCAAGCTATTTAGCTCTCATCAGCTAGCCATACCCTTGCTGGGAATCGAACCTGTGCTATATTGCCTCTTAGGCAGATGTGTTAACCACTGAGTTACAGAGCTTGACTCCTTATCAGTGATATATTATATATTTGGGAGGAAGCATACTGCTTCCTTTCTCTCTCTATCGGCTCATCACAAAAGACCATCCAGACAGAAAGCCAATATTTTTTACTGTTGCTCACAATAAAAAAAAATTGACAATAAAGCTTATATCTAACTTATATCCTTATCTTCTCGTCTTCTTTTGTCCTGTCTTACTTTATCCTACCCTACCTTATCATCAGAATAGAGCTGGAAGAGACCTTGGAGGTCTTCTAGTCCACCTCCTTGCTCAGACAGGAGATGGTTAGAGAATCGTAGAGTTGGAAGGGACCTTGGAGGTCTTCTAGTCCAGCCCCCAGTTCAAACAGGAGATCCTTACAGAATCACAGAAGAACAGGAATGAGAGGGACTTTGGAGGTCGCCTAGCCCAACTCTCTACTCAAGCAGGAGACCCTTGCAGAAAGAATGACAGAGGAGGAGACCTCAGAGGTCATCTAATCCAGGGGTCTCCAACCTTGGGCAACTTTAAGACTTGTGGACTTCAGCTCCCAGAATTCAACTCCCTGGCTGAGGAATTCTGGGAATTGAAGTCCACAAGTCTTAAAAGTTGCCAAGGTTGGAGACCCCTGGGCTACTCCAACCCCCTGCTCAAGCAGGAGACCCTATATCATTTCAGACAATTGCCTTTAATCGACCGATCGATTGAGTGATTGATTAGGTGCCCTCAAGTCTTGGTTGAGTCTTAGCCAACACCCTTGATGGTGTTTCTCCATGGACTTTTGTTCCGTTTAATCCATTTTTGTAGCCACCTATAACCACAACTTTGGGCAGCTAACCAAGTTAAACACAACAAAACCAACTCCCATCACAGCACACCCTGACAGCCAAGGACAACAACAGGCACAACAATGCCATAGCTACCAACACACAGCCTCGTTTTTGTTTTGATTTTTTAAAAAAACTGTCTTCATTGTTTCTATAAATAACACGAAGCACCAAATATATCTCAGATCTTTTTCTATTTCCCCCACAGTTGCAATTTTGTGAGGAAGGGAGGGAGGGAGGGAGAGAGAGAGAGAGGGAGGGAGAGAGAGAGATGGGCCGATGTCACCCAGCCTTTCATGCCAAAGTCGAAACTAGAACTCACAGTCTCCTGGTGACTGGCCCATAGCAACGTAGCAGGCTTTCATGTTTAAGGCAGGACGAGAACTGACTTCCTCCGGGTGATTGGCCCAAAATCACCCAGCTGGCTTTCATGCCTAAGGCAGGACTAGAACTCACCGTCTCCTGGTGTCCCATCAAAGTCACCCAGCCAATTTTCATGCCAAACCTCAAACTGGAACTCACAGTCTCCTGGCTATTCATTCATAGTAACTGAGCAAGCTTTCATGCCTAAAGCAGGACTGGAATTCACCATCCCTTGTTGATTGCCCAAAGTCAACCAGCCAAAAGATAAACTAGAACTCAGCGTCTCCTGGTGATTGGCCCAGTCGCTCATCTTGCTTTCACGCCTAAGGCGGGACTAGAATTCACTGTCTCCTGGTGTCACGTCAAAGTCACCCAGCCCGTTTTCAAACCAAATATGAAACTAGAATTCCCTATCTCTTAGTGTTTGGCCCATAGTAACTCAGCAGGCTTTTACATCTAAGGCGGGACTAGAATTCACTGTCTCCTGGTGTCACGTCAAAGTCACCCAGCTAATTTTTTCAAACCAAATATGAAACTAGAATTCCCTATCTCTTAGTGTTTGGCTCATAGTAACTCAGCAGGATTTCACGCCTAAGGCGGGACTAGAATTCACCCTCTCCTGGTTTTTCGGCCTGCACCTTCACCCCTCCACCAAAATGCCTCATTTATATCCCAGTTTGGGGAACGTGTTTTTTTTTTTCTGGACTGCTACTCGACACTTCACAACTCTAACACAAAGACGGGAGATCCTGAGCAAGATTGTTTAAGGTCTGCTACTCTGAGGTTACACCTTGGCACCCATCCCCTAACCCTCCTGAATGGAAAGAAACGGAGGTGGCCGTAATCTACCTCCACCACCTTCTATGGGTCTGCCAGGTGTGGCACCTGTTCCTTTGTCCCGCAGTTTCCCACCTGAACAAAACAGTTTTCGATCGGCCCTCCTTTGTCTCAGGCCTCCCACCTCCCCAAAGTGTCAAATTGTGCAGGAAACGACCTCAGGAAAATTCAGTGTGGGAAACCCCTGGCCATCCACCAGCGAGTGGACAACTTGTGCATCCAGCGCATAAAAGGAGAAAGCTTGGTCCTGAGGGCCACATCGGCTGTGGAGCTCCTTAGTGGAAGAAGGAAGGATGGACGGGTTCTTCTGGAAGATCTGGCTGGCGGTTGGAGCTCTCACAATCGGTGGGACCTCCTCACTTCCGCGCAAACCGCTGACGTATGACAAGGCCGTGGAGCTTGGCGTGGCCATCTACAATAGCAAAGCAGGAGAAGACTCCCTCTACCGTCTCCTGGAGGCTGTTCCTCAGCCTGAGTGGGTACGTACTCTGTGGTTCAGGTCCGCGATGGACTTGGTCCTCTCCTGTTTAGAGCCTTTGTAGAGTAGACCCATCCCTTGTAGGAAGGAATCCAGAGGGGCAACTGAAAAAGAGGGTTCACCGACAAATGTGCGCTCGACAAAAACGCGCGCCGACAACAGTGCGCCGACAGAAGCGCGCTCTAAACCTAACCCTAAAGGTAACTCTAACTCTAAACCTAACCCTAAACCTAACCCTAAACCTAACCCTGAACCTAACCCTGAACCTAACCCTAACCCTAACCCTTATCCTAACCCTAACCCTAACCCTAACTCTTACCCTAACTCTTACCCTAATCCTAACCCTAACCCTAACCCTAACCCTTACCCTAACCCTTACCCTAACCTTAACCCTAACCCTAACCCTAACCCTAACCCTAACCCTAACCCTNATAAATGCAATAAATTCAATTCAATTCAATTCACATGGCCGGCAAGCCACTCCCACAAAAGAGGCCACATCCACAGAGTAGGTTCCAAAAAGATTTGAAACCCACCACTGGTTGAAGACCTCTAAGGTTGCTCCCAAACCTTCTGTCTCCATGTGGTACAAACTTCAGACATGCCCAAGGGGAGAATTTGGGAGAGATGGTCAGCCTGAAAACTCCATGGGGGGAAATAACCAATTTTAAGATACAAAGGTGAGGACAGCAGCAGATGAAAACAAAGGACGAACTCCACCGCCAGGACCCCCCATGGGTCTTCTTTGCTGTGCAGGGTGCCAAAAACGGAAGATCCCACACCAGATTGTTTAATGGGGACGAAAGGACTCCTACTCTGAGGTTACTCCTTGGCAACGATCCCTAACCTTTGTGGATGGAGAAAACGGTGATTGGTTGTAACCTACACCAACCTCTTTCCATGAGTCGACCAGGTGCAGCAACTGTTTCCTTGTCCTCCAGTTTCCCACCTGAACAAAACGGTTCCTGATTGGCCTTGCTTTGTCTCGGTCCCCCCTCCCAAGAAAAGCAGCGTCCGTTCTGCAGGAAGGACCTCAGAGAATTCAATGGGGGAAAACCCCTGGACACCCGCCAGCAACTGGACAATTTGCATAGCAGGGCATAAAAGGAGGCGTCGCAATCCCGAGGACCACATCAGCTTTGGACTTCCATAGCAGAAGAGCAGAAGGATGGAAGGGTTCTTCTGGAAGACCTTGATGCTGGTGGGGGTTCTTTCAGCCTCTGGGCGCCCCCACCTACCCCACAATCCGTTGAACTATGACGAGGCCCTAAGTCTCGGGGTGGAGATCTACAATAAGAAAGCTGGGGAAGACTTCCTCTACCGTCCCGTGGAAAATGTTCCCCAACCTGAATGGGTATGGAGTTTGGACCTGGCAGTGGGTGGGGTGGCATAGGGTGGCATGGGCATGGAGAAGAGGAAGGTGATGGGGATCGTGGTGGGGGTGAAGTCGAGGATGATGAAGGTGATGATGAAGTTGAAGAGGATGGGGATGAGTAAAGTGATGGAGATGAAGGTGAAGATGGGGATGATGAAGTTGAAGAGGATGGGGATGATGAAGGTGAGGATGAAGTTGAGGATGCAGATGATGAAAGTGATGGAGATGAGGGTAAAGATGAGAATGATGAAGTTGAAGAGGATGGGGATGAGTAAAGTGATGGAGATGAAGGTGAAGATGGGGATGATGAAGTTGAAGAGGATGGGGATGATAAAGGTGATGGGCATGATGGTGAGGATGAAGTCAGGGATGATGGGGATGATGAAGGTGAGGATGAAGTTGAGGATGCAGATGATGAAAGTGATGGAGATGAGGGTAAAGATGAGAATGATGAAGTTGGATGGGGGTGGGGAGGATGAAAGCGATGGGGATTGTGGTGGGGATGAAGTCAAGGATGAAGGGCATGATGAAAGTGATGATGAAGATGAAAGCGATGATGAAGTTGAGGAGGATGGGGATGATGAAATTGAGGATGATGGGGATGGTGACGATGGTAAGGATGGTGAAGATGAAGGTGAGGAGGAGGATGGTGATAATGAAGAAGGTTATGATGGAATTGAGGAGGATAATTGGTGATGGTGATGTTGGTGACGAGCAGGAGAAGAAAGATGAAATTGAAGGCGATGAAGATGATGATAGTGGGGAGGAGAAGGAGGAAGTTGAAGTTGTTGGTGATGGTGATAGTGATAATCATGAAGTCCATTCTGAAGATGAAGACAATATGTATAGTCTACCTCCCCCCAACCCAGAAGTTGAAGGCAGCAAACCCAACTTCACCATCTCAGCCCTTCTCCTGAGTCAGCAGCCTGAGAAGTAGGATAGGCAGAAAGTGAGAGGGTAGAGTAGATGTCCAAAGTCCTTCTAGAAGCTCCTGTATCTGAGATGGCTTCTGTTGCTCCTAGTCCAACACCTTCCATTCCACACCCAGAAGACTTCTCATCTCAAAGACTGTTCAAGACGAGTTTCAGGAGCTCAAGGCACCTTTGCACATCCTTTGAAAACAATTATTTCTGCAACCTTCAGAAAAGGACTCCATCCTGGTAGAGCCTGATCTTCCCAAGCAAGGTTAAAAGCTGGAATGAGTTGGGAGAGCTATTTCAGGCCCAGGGTGGACTTCATCCAGGCCTGTTTAAGAGCCTTTGTATAGTAGACACATCGCCTTGGGGGTCACTTCTGAGACTACGGGGGAACTAGCTGAACAAATAGAGGCCCACCCTGTTCTCCTAGCATGGAGGTCTTGGGAAGTCTCTATCTGTGGTCAATCAGGGTGATGGGCATGGAATCGAGAACTTCTAGAGCAGTGTTTCTCAACCTTGGCAACTTGAAGATGTCTGGACTTCAACTTCCAGAATTCCCCAGCCAGCATTCGCTGGCTGGGGAATTCTGGGAGTTGAAGTCCGGACATCTTCAAGTTGCCAAGGTTGAGAAACACTGCTCTAGAGCTGGCATGGACTCTTTTCTGCAGCCGCTTGCCCCCCTCCCAAGGTTTTTTATTTTCTAATTTTCAAATTATACATATATTATAGGAACACAGAATTGTCCGGATCTTTTCTCATTTACATCGTCTTTTTTACATCATAGTTTTGTTTTCACTTTCAGCCAAATTATCCTCTTCCGTTATTTTTCATTTTTGTAGTTAATTTTTTTCTTAATACATATACAATATCTTCAATTGCCCCTTCAAAATTACACCCAATTTTCATTTCTTATTTTCTCCATTGGTATATCTTGTTATAAACAATACGTTCCCTGATTCAATTAAACACAGAGAGCATTTCTTTCCTTTTCCCCCCCTACAATTAACAATATAGTATTGTTTCTTTATTTCTTAATTAGCTACGTAACAACAACAATCTTACCTCCATTTTCTTTAGTCTACTAATGCAACTCCTTTCCCCCTTTCTTCCTCTTTTAGCCATTTTCCCTTAGGCTCTCAAAAACCCCAGTTTTAATTCTTTCCCTTCTCCTCCCCCCTTTCCCCTAACTTCTTTTTCTTTTTCCTAATTTTGTGGTTATTGTATCTTTTCTGCAGAGTATTTACTTTTATTATTCTAGTGAATTTCCCCAAACTTCTACCTTTGTCTTGAGGGACATCCCTGTTCCCCTCCTTTTCTTACTATTTTTTTCTCTGCAGCCACTTTCAAGTGGCTACATAAAAGAGCCATTCAGAAAGGATTCCCGGCGTAAAACAGGAGAAGGTTCAGGTGGCCTTCAAACTAGCCATTCAGTTTTGCTGTGTCTTGTTTCAGGATCCTTATTCAGAAAGCTATCAAGAGCTGAACTTCACCATCAAACAGACGGTGTGCCCTGTGGAAGAAGAATTTTCCACGGATGAATGTGACTTCAAGGAAAACGGGGTGAGTGATTGATACCCAGCTGGTTGGGTCATGTACAGTAGATGGAGACAGGTCTATGGGACCTGGATAGGATCTTCTTGGCAGAGTTGAAATTGGAGTTCCACCTCTATTGCGTTGAAGAAAGAGCTATTCAACTTCTTGTCTTGAGGGACATCTACTTCTCGGTTCTCCAAGCCAATTCTTAGGCCCAGCTCCATGGATGGGGAAGGAACCCAGCTTGTCAGGGTTCCGACGGATGCCCCAATTAAATCATGAGCCTTCAGCCAAGCGTCAAAAGAAATCCAGTTATTTATTAGGAGGTTCTTGTCCGCACCTACCCAAGTGAAGCCAACTGTGACCCCATGTAATTTACGGCCCAATTATGACCCTGTTTCCCTCCTCCCCCCCAGGGAGTGTGTCATAAAGCACATTTTCCAATGGGAGCAATTTCGTGTAGATATCACTCCTTTCCACAGCTGTGGGTAACCCTGGGAGACAGCCTTGAGAAAGATATGTCTGGAATGTGCTTCTGTTTGTGGACGCAGTGCTGCTTCATCAGCTTCCCATCTCCCCTTGCCTAGGGCAACTCAAGAGCAGGCCAGGGACGCTTTGCAAGTTCACACAACCCTTGAACCCTTCAACAATTATTTCCTGTTTCCCTAAAGTGTACATGGAGAGATTAAGGGTCAACCTGCTTAGATTGTCTAACGCCACCCTGGAAGGATCCAAGATTCCTCCATGGGAAACCAGATAATGGTCTCCATAGAATCTGAGTTCTGAGAGGTATCTTGATTCTCCCCACGCTTTTTTCTCCTCCACAGCTGGTCAGACAATGCACAGGCTACTACTTCCTGGAGGAGAGGCCCCCAGTGGCTGTCCTCACCTGTGACACCGTGGGGGGGACAGCGGAGGAGGAGGAGAAAGAGAAGAAGGTAAGAAGGAGGTTTGGTAGCTCCTAGGATGGTCTATAAGGAGGGTCGAACCATTTGCCAGGTGGGGGGGAGTCCTCATCTCAGTTGAGAGATTGGACCACAAGAGGTCTGAAATGTTATAGGGTTTCCTGCTAGAGCTGGGGGTTTGGGCTAGAAGATCTCCAAGGTTCCCTCCAACTCTGTAATTCTAAGGAGGAGGGGGTGGTGGAGAAGGAGGAGGAGGAGGAAGAGGAGAAGGAGAGGAGGGATTTCTGCTAGAGCTGGGGGTTGGAGTAGAAGACTCCAAGGTTCCCTCTAACTCTGTAATTCTGAGGAGGAGGAGGTGGTGGAGAAGGAGGAGGAGGAGGAAGAGGAGAAGGAGAGGAGGGATTTCTGCTAGAGCTGGGGGTTGGAGTAGAAGACTCCAAGGTTCCCTCTAACTCTGTAATTCTGAGGAGGAGGAGGTGGTGGAGGAGGAGGAGGAGGAGGAGGGGGGGAAGGGGAGGAGGGATTTCTGCTAGAGCTGGGGGTTGGAGTAGAAGATTCCAAGGTTCCCTCCATCTCTGTAATTCTGAGGAGGAGGAGGAGGAGGAGGAGGAGGAGGAG